TTTTTTTTTTTTTTTTTTTTTTTTTTATAAGCGTTTTTTAGCCTGTATTCAAATATAAACATTTCAGGTAGGTCAAAGTGTTTTTAACCACGAAAATCAACTTTTTTAATCGTCAAAAGCACTCTTAGTTAAGTAATGGTATAAAGCTCTTTCGAATACTTTGGGGCTTCTATATTTTCTGAAGTACATTTAAAGATGGAATTAGTTTGTGCTTCTTCTATTTTTGACCCAAATGTCTGCTACCTAAATTTTCACTGCACACTTTCCTTCTGCATCTCTACTTCTTTTTGCAACTCGACATATACATTTTCCCGCATTCTCCCCTATTCTGTGTATACTTTCTATTATTAACTTCCTAAACACTCACTTCTTTTTTGAACTGAGGAATGTGTTTGTTGTACCCAAGCACTTTTTCTTTAAATATTTTTAATAAAATCATTTTCATATTTTACCCTCAAATATTTTTTCTTTTTTCTTTAAATACTTTTAATAAAAATGTTTTCATATGATACCTATTGCAAATATGTTTTCTTTTTCTCACTATTATTTTTGGATATTTTAGTTAATCGCTTTAAATTCATTTTTGGTTAACCTATCTCTCATGTATATGGATCAGAAATAGATTTTAAATGAGTCCTTTTTCTTTGAATTATTATTTTTTCTTTCCTTCAAATTTGACCATACAAGTGTAGTGGTGTTTTCCTTTTTTTTTTCTCTGTATTTTTTTTTTCTAGTTGACCACTTTGAATTAATTTTTCGATAATCTATCTTGCACGTATTTTATTTAAAGATAGTTTTTTTTTTAGGTAATCCAATTTCTTTAAAGTTCTTTTTGTTCTTTGACATTTTTTTAAGGTAATCCAATTTCTTTAAAGTTCTTTTTGTTCTTTGACATTTTTTTAAGGTAATACTTCAGATCATCTAGACACAATTTTAATTTTTTTTTTTCATATAGTTCTTTGAAAAAACCAATTTCATTCAAAAAGCATGTCTTTCGTAAAGGTATTTCAGATGCACTATATTGTGTTTTTAAAAAAGATTACTTGTAATTAGTTGTTAAATACTTTCATTTGTTGCCTTCAGTTAACAACAAAAGAAAACTACAAGAATTTTTGTTTGAAACTAACTATTAGATAATCCAGAGAATTACTTGGCCTTTATTTCTCCATAATTTATGAACTGCCAGATTGAGTAGTTTAATTAGCATGGTTAACGTGCCATTATTTTTCAGGGCTCTATCCGATGCTCCGACTGTAAGGGAACAGGTTACCGGGCCAAGTGGCTGGGTGAGCCCCCCGTTTCTAAATAGACCGAAACTTCAGCAAAAAAGAAAAATGCCAGAGCCTGATCTGGTGCTACCAGGTCTAATCAAGTCAACTATAATTTGTCATTATTATTTTTATTAAATCTCATAACCAACGTCTAGTGCAGTTTTCATTAAAATCGAGCAGTCAGCTTGCGAATGGATTGCTGGCTTTTTGCTGCTTTAAGATTCGTTGTATATTGTTTCAGAATCGGTCAAATTCATGTTGTTCATTGAATATCATATTGAAGTTACATTTGGCTCACAAGGTGTGCTAAGCATGCCATTTAACCTCTCGACATCTTTAGCGTCGGCAAGTGAATTGTGTGCACAGATTCTCCTTCATGGGCTCAGTAAACGATGTCATGAAAATACCTGCATGAGCCAACAGAAAATTTAATATTTCCTTTTATCTTTGTATTAGTTAATTATTTTTTTATCTTTGTTTATTTTCCTTAAAAATATGAATCAGTTCAATAATGTTCAAAATCTAAAAAGTATCGGACATGTAAAGCAGAAGACAAAGAAATGTTAGTTCTGTGTTCTCTTTTGGCAGCATATTTTTTACTAAAAATAAAAATCTGCCCTGTTTTTTGGTAAAAATAAGAGCCAAAATATCTAGTTTTATAAGTAAAATTATAAATAGAACTGGAGAAAAGCTACCTATTAATTTTTATTCCTTCACAGGTAGAAAAAGTTTGAAGAGAAAAAATAAGGAAACTGAGAGAGAGAGAGAGAGAGAAGAAACTTTAAGTCCGAGAAAGAGAACAAATTTAGTTAATTAAAAGTAACTTCAAGCGCGAGTCATAAAAAAAAAAAAAACGCTTTAAGAGTCAGAAAGACGCATATCTACGAAGAAATTTTGATATTTTGAAAAATAATTTCTTTTTAATTTTATAAGTTTACCTAGAATTTTGAAGTGTTGAGAGAAATAAAAGTTACACATTATTTTGGTTATCAAATAAACAGTCCAGAATATAAAAGAAAAAAAAAGGGTGATGATACTAAACCACATAAATCCTTTGGATAAATTCATGTCTTAACAAATGAACCATTTAAAAGTTAAAATCATCTTAAAATATAACATCCAAGAAATCATTTGGAAGTATTGGCATTTGTTTTAAAGCATCCGTACATGGAAAGCTTTGATATTAATATTTTCAATGCATCGCAAAAATATTAAGAAAGTGCCAAAATTATTATTGACACATACATACTATCATCAAGTAAATGTTCATTCATTAATTTTAAATAACATTTGCATATGAGGTTTCTTCTTGGGTTTTTTTTTTTTAAAGAAATTTGTCAATATTGATAAATAAGTCGACAATTTTGATTTTTGTAGATGGAAGGGTGGGACAAGGAATTAGGTAAAGAGATACCTGGCATAGTTTGGAATTATTCCTGCACTACAGCCGAGAATAGCAACTTGTTGACGTCACTAGACTCTGCGTCCTCTTGGCCATCTTCCCCTACATTACCTCTCATTAATACGAACTTTGAATGAAAAACATGAACCAATTCAAATCCAAATTCAATTTCAATAAATAAAACATCAATTATTAAACCTTAGATATAATCGTTAAGCTAAATAAGAAAAAGAAAAGGTCAAACTACCTAACTTTCTAGTTTCTACACGACAGCGAAGGCAAACATTACTACTTTTTAGAGTTATCAACACGAAATCTATAAAAATTAATCTATATATTTTTAAAAAAATTCATAAACTAAAAGATTCGTCATTAAAATTAATATTAAGACCAAACAATATTTTAAGTATATTGTAAGCTAGAATTCAAAACACATAGGTCTAAACATCAATTACAAGAAAGCTTGAACAGAATCCTCTTACCAATTTTTGATTGAACTTGTGTTGTCCACTCTTCAGTGATCTGCAGAAGACAAATTCAGGATATGGTTTAGCATTGAAAAATGACTCCGAAAGTACTAAAAAACACGACGCTTCTACATGGAGGGGCGAGACATTTGATTGTGTAAGCTTTATCCAAAAGATCGAAATACCCACAGGCCATCTAATGTGGATATCCAATCGTAAGTAAAGCCTTTTGCATATTTAATATTGGATGCTTGCTGGCAAATGGTACAAAAACTATAAGCACCACTTGGAAATTGCAACCCTTTTAAACCACATAAAGCAAATGACAGAGCACTTGAGAAAAAAAATTCCAAGAATGTCCATTTCACTGTGTTACAATGGATACCTGCTTGAATTGCACAAATGCCGGATCATCATCATCGCTGACAAAGGGTTTGCCCATGGATGCTTGCATTTTGTGTACCATGTTTCTGTTCCCAACAAGAACAGTCCGAGCCTTATCAATTACATCCTGCATTTGAACAGCGCGTCATCTTTGCATAATTTAGCAATAGGTAATGAAATCACTCAATCTCAGTTGCAGAACAAGAATAAATACTGTACTTGTTCTCCGATAAAAATGCAAAAGAGGCACCAATGAACAAGACATTAACTCAAACACGCTACTTTTTCATCGGTAAGTTATTTAAGAATTTAAATGTTACTATTTTACTATAAAAGAATAGTGAAAACCACGATAAGAAAAATGGAGAAAACAAGCATAAATTTCAAAAACAAACTAAAAACTAAATAGTTAATAAGCATTAGGATTTATTTATTTGAAATTCATTGTAGGTAATATATTGAACAAAATATTCTCGATGTAATTATATCTTATGAAAAATACCATTATATTCATCCTACTATCATCAGACATCACGTTTCCTGAGCTCAAACTTCATATTTTCATTTTTATTAAAGTATAACATATCATTTCATTGCATGGAATCTAAGTGAAATGGAGTATTTATTTATTTTTGGACATATAAGTGAACTTTTGGAGTTGCAGAACTAATTCTTGAAAGAAAAAAAAAAAAAGAGAGAGAGAGAAACTTAGAAAGTACAGAGCATGAACTCTTACAGGTTAAATGCGTGTGTTTCCTCAAGTCGATACCTATCTGGAAAAAGTAAAGGCAGAAAGATACCTGTTTGGCCATCAAAACTTCACGACACTGCTCTTTCAAGGTTGATATATCATCCCGTATCTTCTTTATCCTTAAAGCTAACTTCATTGGATTCGCCTGCAAATAATGTACAAAACCTTGAATGAAAACCACCAGTTGAGCAACAACAGATTCGTATTCATGTTTTCCAGAAAGAATATGAAGGATAATCTGAGATAGAATTCAAAATAAATCCGTGGTTAACTTTGTCCCCAATACATGTTTTAAGAGGCTTTCAATCTCAACCGTCAAACAATGACTTGACAATCGCTGTCATTAAGAGTGTTTGAACCCAATATCACTGCCACATGGTGGCATGCATTGTAGAGAAACCAACGGAAATTTTTAATCACACGTTTTATCAAAGATCAAAAAGCTCAATATAGTCAGAAGTTCGAAAATGAAGAAAAATTGTGGATGACTAAATTCTCCGAAAACTTCAATCTGAAAGTTCAATAGTCCATTCTCAGAACAACAATATTAAACGGCGAACCTTTTAAAATCAAGAATTACAACGAATTTTTGGCTAGCACTATGAAATAAACTGACGCACAAGAGAGGAGGAAACAATTCTACGTTAAGCTCAAAATCTTGTAATAGTACTGCGGTTCTGATTGAAAAATGAAAGAACTCATTAAGCTCAAGATTGAGTACTTCCTCCTCAAACCAAATACTGAAATGAAAACTAGTGACTCGACTCTTGAAAATAACTATGTTGCCCAGACTCTATCAGGATTTATTTGCTCTAACATTGTAGAACGAAATAATTCGTCGTTAAGCTCAAGATCTTGTGATACTACTTATCAAATGCTAATAGCAAAAGATAATGAAATAACTCTTCATTAAGCTCAACATCTTCTATGTCCTCCTCAATTAAAATAGTGTCTCCGCTCAGAAGTCTAGAAGCAGAGAAAACAAAATAGTTCATTTCAAACGTATGTTGCTCTTACTCTGTCAGGATTGACTACATGCTCCTACGATGTAGAATCGAACAATTCTACATCAAGCTCGAGATCTTGTATTAATACAGTGAATAACAGCAAAGAGAAAACAAAATAGTTCAACATTGAGCTCCAGATTTTGAACATCGTCATCAAACTAAACAGTACCTCGACTAAGAAAATAGAGAGTCTATGATGCTCTTACGCTGAAGAATGATATAGTTCTACATTAAGCTTGTGATCTTGTATTAGTACACTGAATAGCATCAGAGAGAGAACAAAATAGTTCAAAATTGAGCTCCAGATCTTTAACTTCATGCTCAAACTAAACAGTGCCTCGATTAAGAAAATAGAAAGACTATGATGCTCTTACGCTGAAGAATGAAATAATCCTACATTAAGCTTGTGATCTTGTATTAGTACAGTGAATAACACAAAGAAAGAACCAAATAGTTCAAAATCGAGCTCCAGATCTTGAACTTCGCGCTCAAACTAAACAGTGCATCGATTAAGAAAGTAGAAAGCGTCTATGATGATTTTTTGCTGTAGAATGGAATAATTCTACATTAAGCTCAAAGATCTAGTACTAGAACTATGAATTACCAACAGCGAAGAGAAACATAAACAATTCTACATTCATTTCGAGCCTTAGAACTTCCTTCTTAAACTAATAACTGCCTCCATTCAATAAACGAGAAGAAGAAGAAGAAGATCGTGTTGCTCTTACGCTGTCAGGATAGATTTGCTGAAACTCCTTCTCGAGCCTGTATTGAACAACCGAGAGATCGTGATTGGCCTTCGTGAATAAGTTCGTCAATCCATCGGCTGCTTGATGATGTTGATGAAGATGATCGAGCCCCATCCTCTCTCTGCTAGGGTTTTCGCGCTCTCTAAATTTGAAGCTCCTTCCGCGCCAATGAACTCTGTATTTGCCTTATTTAAATGAAAGACGGGGTGGTGTGTTGGATACATCTACTCTCCGCCACGTGTTATGTTGATATTTTGAGAGAATTAAGTATAATTTAAAAAATTAAATGATCATCTCCAGAGTTCTAGAAACTAAAAAATGTAATTATAAAAAATAATTTACTTTTAAAATTTAGCTAAAAATTAATATGTTACCTTACAAAGCATAAAAGAAGACACTGACGTCTTTGAGAAAATAAATACCATTTAAAAAAATATCTAAATGATTATTAAATAAGATCGGTGAAGTAAATTAAAAAAAAGGAATATTATTTATAATATATTTATTAATGAATAAAAGTTAAATTAATCAAAATTATTTTAATAAGTTAAATTCATCCCATATTATTTATTTATATAAAATTCGGTAATATTTTCAATGCAACGGTGTTGCTAGAAATAATTGAAATTTCATTTGGTAGGGAGAGATTTACTCACTTCCAATAGAAGTGGATCTCACAATTCACCGGGATCCAGCATCCTTGCTGCTACTCGTTCTCTCTCCAATCAATGTGGGACCCCCAATCCACCCATTTGGGGATGGGGACAGCGTCTTTAAAGTGGGATCTCACAATCCACCCCTTCGGTACCCAGCATCCTTGTTGCTACTCGTTCCCTTTTCCAATCGATGTGGGACCCCCCAATCCATCTCACAATCCACCCCTTCGGTACCCAGCATCCTTGTTGCTACTCGTTCCCTTCTCCAATCGATGTGGGACCCCCCAATCCACCCTTTTGGGGACAGCGTCGTTGCTGGCACACCACCTCGTGTCCACTCCATTCGGGTCTCAGCCTTCTCACTAGCATATCGCTCGGTATCTGGCTATGATACCATTTGTAACTGTTCAAGCTCACAGCGGGTAGAGATTGTCCTCAGTTTTCTCTTCCAAGTTTTTAAAAAGCGTTTGTTAGGGAAAAGTTTACACGTTCCTATAAAGAATGTTTCGTTTACACATCCTTATAAAGAATGTTCCGTTCTTCTCTTCAACCGACGTGGGATCTCACAAACACCTAACATAGATATTTAATTTTCAGACATTTTTTTTTACTAGCATCACAAGGAAAATCTTCAACAAAACCGAACCCAAGAAAATGAAAACCATGAGGTTTAATCACTCTGTTCAGTACTTAATCTCCCTATGTATGTAATATCAATACTATTTTTTGAAATCTGTAAACAATAAGTTACAACCTTCTGTGAGTTCTTATAAAATTAGTGGTATTTAATGCCACAATAGCCGAGCATGCATAAGCTCCACCACAGCACAATGCTGCAGACAACAGAACGAGGGCCTTCCATTGCCTCCCACTCACCAAAATGGCCAATGCAACCAAAGTGACGGCAATGGCAGAAAGAGCCTTGTTCCAAGTTTGAAAAGATTTGATGACATTGCTACAACTCCTGCAATGAATGATATGTCGAAAGTATCGGTTCGACAAGTTCGGAGAATGCATCGTGCCGATCCCCCCCTTAGCCGGAGCAGATGCTGAAGCTCCAGCAACTAGTCCTACCGGGGCGTGTTCAACAACAGCAGGCAGTTTAGGCAACGAAATTGTAGCATGTCCGAAGTAATACGGCATCCCGTGCCCGACCTTGTCCATCCAGCGTCGATACTCGAGAACCCAAGTATCGGAAGATCGTAAGTTGAGGTAGAGCTCTTTGGTGGGCACTTTTTCTCTCATTAGAACCTCATTTTGGGATGAAAGAAATCCCATATCTTGCTCAAAAACCTTGCAGGCATTTTGGTGGATAAACCATGAAGGCAGCAATTTCAACAGAAGGGAAGATCTTGTGCTACCAAATCTCACTATAAGCATGGATTTCCCCTGGCCTGTAGGCCTACAGAGGAAAAGTCCTGTAAAGTAATCCACAGCACCTTTTTCATTGGGAATTTCCCTGTTATTCTGAAGGACACAAGGAGCTTCAAACCTTAAGAAGTTTGACAATGCCGGTTCTTTAGCACGGCCCCATCGACCGGCGAAACCACGGTTCGTACGCTCGGTAACTTCGAATCCTAATGGCTGAGCATCTTCCCTTCTGGCACTAAAATCTGTTCTATCATGGGAGATAGGTACATGTGCAGGATCCATAAGGTTCTCAAGAAGTATGGAGTGATCATAAGGAAGCTCGTGAATGGTCGAATTGTCTCGGAACCCGGGCCGCTCGAAGTTGTCGAACCACGGTATCTTTTTGAGGGTTGGAGGCTTTTCCAAAGACATCCACACCCATACAACTCCCTGTGAGTCCCTTACCTCGTATGTTCTTAGACATGCTGTTCTAGGAATCTTGGCATCTGAAGGAAGCTGCATAACACAGTTCGAGCCTAAGTTGAATGGATCAATGCAATTCAATTTATATTCAACTCGTTTCTAAGGACTTTTTATAGAAAGAGATCAAATTCATTCAATTTTACCTGAGGAATCTTCACACATTTCCCCTCGCCTTCAAATTGCCAGCCATGGTAAAGACATTCCAATTTGCCATCGATTAATTGGCCTTCAGAGAGCTTTGCTAGCCTAAAATGAGACAAAAGTAAGTTAAGCAGATCCATTTTAAGTTATACTATGAATGCTTATTATCCCTTGATTAATTGTTTATCCAGAAACAAGAACAACAAACGCATAATTAACAGGAAGAACAAGCTGAAGTAGAAACAGATTAAACGTTAATCAGATGAATTTTGGTCCTGTTAGAGCGTCGTGCTAATAACGCTAAGATCGCAGGTTTGAAACCTGCATGGGCCATTTATTTTTTTCATACCTATGGGGGCACCTGTCTTCGTGACATCGGAGCTCGCCGGTTCCATCGCGGTACAGAACCAACTGCTTATCGAACACAGTGAGCCCTAAAGGAGCATCCTCCGGCACATCTCGCGTAAGGTACAGCGGGTACCACTCTTCAGTCCAGTCGTACTCCACCGTAGATCCACCGCTAAGCTCCTCGTCGGTCGCCGGACCCAAAATGACCGCCTGATCATCATCGTCCTTCAGATCGCCGATTGAAGCTGTAGTTCCGGCGTCTACAACGGCGTCGCCGCGAACCACGAATCTCTTCCTGGCAGCGACTAATTTGAACGGCAAAGAGGAAGCGGAAGGCGATGGAGCGTTAAGGACATTCGCGAAGCGCGTGCGCTTAGGTGCGTGGGAGAAAGGGGAAACGGAAAGAAATGGGCGGAGAGAGGCCATGGCGGTGGTTGAAGTGAAGGAGGAGTAGAGGAATTTAAGGATTTGAAGGAGTGAAGATTTGTTTGGTTAGAAGAGTGAGGCAGTTCTGTGAACCACACATTCAAGCTTTCAACAGAGATGATCGAGAAATTAAGCGCGGGACAAATGGCCATGATCCCTTGTAGAAACGACATGTCGGTTTTTCCTCTTTCCTCTTTTAGTACGCAACCAGTAGAGAAACATGAACAAGTAAGTCTATAAGTAGAGATCCGATGATTGAGACGTAGACGACTTCTCCGTCCCCATCTTTTCCAGCATTGATTTTCATATTAGCTAAAATTTTCTTAATACTTTTAATAAAAATAAATTAATTTAAACTTTTTAAAATTTTGACCTTCATCTATATGCTAATTACTGTTAGTTCTCTTTATACTAAAATAATAATAATAATAGCAGCAGCACAATGTTTAATTAAACATATTTAATTTATAAGCATATAATATGAATAATAAAAATTATAATTTAACCACTAAACCTGCGCAAATGAGTTTTCATTTTTAAACTAAAAAATTAGAGATTTATGAAGTAAATGAATTTATTAATGAAATTTAACATTATTGTCAACTGGCCTATTAGCTCAGTTGGTTAGAGCGTCGTGCTAATAACGCGAAGGTCGCAGGTTCGAAACCTGCATGGGCCAATTTTTCTATTCCTTTTTGTTTTTATCATCTTTAACGTTACCGGTGGGGGCACCTTATCTTCGTGACAGTGGAGCCTCCGCACACTATGAATCTCTTTTTAGCCACGATTAATTTGAACGGCCAATAGGAATTAAGACGCAAAGGAGCGTGAAGAAGAAGCTGAGTTCGCGACGCCGAGGGAGTTGGTTTGTGGGACAAGGCCAATAAATCCATGAAATCAGATGGAAGTTGAAACTTTACCTGTAAAAATAAATAAATAAATAAATAAATTGTATAGGTCAAAGTTGGATTCTACTTTTAAATAATAATAATAATAATAATTCAAAATTAATCACAATGATGAACAAAATTAATTAGAGTAAATAATATTAAATAATTAATTATTTATAGCAATATCTTTAACGATATTCTCCATTTATCAATAAAATGCAATAAAATACACAACTTTTATTAATGCTTTTTACACTCAAATCTGACTGGCACATAATGGGGAAGAAGAGCCATAAATAGGGCTTAATAAATTTCCCATGGGCGGCGAAGTGAAGGAATAGCTGTGAAGTAAATGTTGTGCACTAAGGGCCAAACATGTCTCTTCAGAGACGTGTGACTTTCAACACTCTGCCACCACCCAACTTCTTCAATGCCGCTTTAAATTTCTCTCGCTCTCTCCCTTTTATTCTGTTTCTTTATAATGCTTAGCGAAGACCAAATCCTTTTATTCCCAGTTAGCTTCTCAGATACCACGACAGATTTGTCCATGGCGAAAACGGCGTCGTGTAGCGATATATGCAAGTCGTTTTTACTTCTTCTGGTTTTGTCTGTTCCGGCATCGACGGTGGCCTTGTCGTTCGGGTTTTACGCTGCCACGTGTCCTGCGGCGGAGTTTATGGTCCGGAATATCGTTAGATCGGCTTCCTCCGTTGACCCCACCGTTCCCGGCAAGCTCCTCCGACTTCTCTTCCATGACTGTTTTGTTGAGGTCAGTAACCTGGTTTAGTCTTCTTTTCGTAAAACGACGCCGCATTAGTCTCGATTTAATTTTGATCTTGGAAGCCGATCTTTTCAACTGGCCTATTAGCTCAGTTGGTTAGAGCGT